ATTCTGGAAGGTTTAGTACAAGGTTAAAGGTTCCAAAGAACTGCTTTAAAGACTTAGTGGTCATGGCATATTTTCACTGGCATCAGCCAGAGTCATTGGTAAGCAGAGGTAGATGGGTGGATACGGAAACAAAGTGGTTAAATAGGGAACCTACAAGTAGGTTTCAGATATGGCAGCTAGTGTAGAACCTTTGAGTGGACTACTTAAATTAGATAATGACTCAAGTTGTACAAGTGGCTAGTTGTATACTCTTTCTATAGTTGCCTTCTGTAGTTGTAAAGCAATTATTAGTCAAATATACTATTAATAAAATTCTGGGTCACAAGTACTCATCTTAATATTTAAAAAATAAAAATAAAAATAAAAATAAAAAAAAATTTATTAGTAATATATTTTAATTTACTATATAAATTTCTATTATACTATTTAGATTATATAAAAAATAATCTAAGTACACTTTATTTTTAATGTTAAATTAGATAATACTTAGTTATATAAAAACCAAATAACTATTTGTTTAGTCTAATATAAAAATTTTATTTTTTTTTTTATTTTTTTTTTTTATTTATTTATTTATTTATATAATATCATAGTAGAAACTTTAAAATACAATAAGAAATTTAATTACAGAAAAAAATTCCTAAAATAAATATTTCTAAACTATGTTTGTGTTGCTAAAAAATAGACATCCAATGTAATATTACATCTTCTATTTCCTAATAAGTGCTATAGATAATTGTTTCAAATTATTTTCTAGTTAGGATAGGTTGGAGGAAACCTTCCTAATATAAAAATTAAAATATTTAAATAAGTAATCTTCTAGTATATTACAATATAACAACTAGTATAGAACCTTCAGATAAACTACTTAAATAAGTAATCAAAATTGCATATATAATTAGTTACATACTTATTTTATACAAATTATATATATATATAATTGAAAATATAATAAAGATAATAATTTTATAATATTTTTTTTTTTTAGTATTTAAAGTGACCTCTTCAGTTTTTTGATTTTATTAATACTTTTGTTGAGCATTACAATAAGTATACAACTGACTATATATATAACTTTTTTCTATTACTTATTTAAGAAGTCTGCCTAGAAGTTTCTTACTAGTTATTATATCTAATATTCCTGTTTAGATGTTCTATTTAAACTTTCTGATTTGAAACTCTTATATTAACTTCATTAGGTTACTTGCATTTAGATTCTTGTTTTAACCTTAAGACAATTTTATTCTTAAGAGTAAACCTATCAGAATAAGCTATATATTCCTTATCTATTGCTAACTTAAATTTTTTATTATAGCCAAGACTAATATTTGTAATTAAAATTATCTATTAAATCACTATACTTTTGTAAAAATTTACTTAAACTCTAATACTTGTCTTTTCTATATCTTCTTTATTATTTTTTACTAATCACAACTCAAAACTAATAAACTTCTTAAACTTTCAATCCAAATAGCCTAGTATGATATATTTATGTATCTTTTTTCTTTAATGATTTGATGACCTAATTGGTTATGTGCTCTTTTATATATCTTGTCATTTAGTTTATTCAATAATTTCTATAAAAATGTTTTATAAACTTCTATTAATCTAACAACATTATTAAAAGTTTGTACTACTCTTTATTTAGGATTTATAAGTATGTTTTTGTCTCTTTGGTTTTTTAGTCTTCTACATCTAGTAATCTTATTATAGATTTGTACTGAAATCTTATATAATACTAATTTTTCATATTCTTTTATATATATGTAATATTACATTTCATATAAATGATCTGAGCTCCCAATATTAGATAAAATTTGACTTGGTATACCTAAGATTACAGATGCCCAAAACTCAACTAATCAACAAAAAACAATTACTATAACATAAGTATAATTTCCAAAATTTGTTATCTATAGAAATTAAACCTTAAATCTGCTACTTGAAGGTTGACAACCTATCTACTTCACTAGGTTACTATATCAATAATTTTATAATATTAGACTTAGCAAAAACAAAAAAAATAAATAAAAAATAAAAAAATAAAACCTAACAATTATTATTAAATTAAAAATATAAAAAATAAATAATCTTTAAACTTAATTGACAATTCATAAAAGAAGAAGAATTGTATTAATAAAATTTATAACATTATATATAAAATATAGAAATCAACATTTCTGACTATTTAAAGTTAAATTTTTATTAATCTAACATCTTTTGATCATCTAATGAAAGTTGTAGAGCTAATTTTTGTGATTCTAATGATAGCAAGATCGGTAAAATTAGTTAAATATATAGAAAGTTACAAGTAGTTTAAGTTTAACTTTTTCTATAAACTATAGGAATCATGATTTCTGTATTAATATATTTTATTATATTTTATTATAAAAATCTCCTCCGGTTTTTATTCTCTTTCTATCATGAATTGTCAATTAAATAACTTTTAATTTACTAATCTGCTTTAAATGGTTTAACTATCAAAATAATTATCTTTAAAAGATGATTCTAACATCAAAATCATTAAAATTCTGTTATAAGATTTTAATATTTTAAACTTTTTTAAATAATTAATTAACCAATCTGAATTGAATTAAAGATAATAATAACTACTAAATAAAAAATATTATATAATAAATAGCATGTTTTTAGACAATTAAAAAATACTCATTTAACGATCTATTACGATTTTAGCTCTATAACTTTTTATTATAAGCCAAAAAAATAGTTAATAAAAAAATACTTTTATATGTAAGCGACCTGTACTATAGAAAATATATATATATTTCTAATTTATTTATTATAAGATTTATTATTTTTTGTTTTCTTTAGAAGAAATTTATTACCTAACTATTTGAATTATAACACCAACTATTATAAACAGCGTTAACAGCAATAAATGAATAGAACAATAGAACAATAAAATAGAGTAATAGAATTTAGAATAAAATAATTTTATCAATAAAACAAAAAATTGCTAACAAGATAATAATTAAATATTAATATAGTAATAAATAATAGAACAATAGAACAATAGTATAGAGCAATAGAAATTAGAATAGAATATAATTTTTATCAATAAAACAAGAAATTGACAACACTGATTATAAAATATATAAAAATAAAAAAATGATTCTTGATAAAAAAAAACAGATGATTAATAATACTACCTTTATTTTATTTTTAATTTTTAGTATGTATAAATAATGGCTCTAAAGTATAAACTGTTTTTTTTTTACAATGATTTGAAGTAGAAACCACACCGGTATAGAGTGGTTTGTACTCTAGATTATTCTGGAACATACAAGTCATTACCTGCCAATATTCGCACCTCTAGTAACTGTCTAAATTTCTCTGGCCAATCAATTTCAAAATGAGGTGTAACGCAAAAGATCAAATTCAATTTAAACTACTTTCTAGGTATTAAAAAATTTTCCTTGTGAAATTTAGATATTGTCCAATAGCATCCTCTAAGCAATAATGAAAACTAATCTAATATAGCAATAAAATTTTAAGCTGGTAAAGCTAGAACAGTTGATATCCACATTTGACGTTACACATCTTGGGATATAGTTGATCATTAGCGTTCTGGTGATTGTCAAAGCTAATGAATAGAATTACTCTTTATATTAGGTTTATTAAAACTATTAATTCAAAACAAAAAACTTCGCAACTAAAACTATCGTAAAAAAATCTTAAGCGGAAGACCGGCCTCCGGTGCTTGATCGGAAGTGGTCTGCAGCCACAGGATTTTCTTTACGTGAGGGTGCCCGGGCGAGAGCTACCTCAATGGCATCGCGCAGAGGTTTAATCATCTGATGATCAAATATAATATATAAATGTCTTAGTCTTCAATATCAATAATAATGGGCTATTATGAATGGGTAATTACATACTTGTTCTGCCAACTTTATAGCTTTGGACCATTCGAATTCGCTAATTTGTATATCTGTGTTTTGAGACGTTTGCGAGGCATCCAGTATCTCATCACCGTCCTGGCTCATATTTTTGATTTTATTGATTCGAGTCAAAGTATCACGAAGTTTATCAACCATCTTTTTATTCTTCTCGGCTTTATCTTTGGAGTTTAACGATGTCCAAAAATGTCGCAGATACTCATTTCCCGTCAAGTGAATGAGATGAACTTCTTTCTCAATTGGTGAAGGGAAATTTTCTATAAGATGGTATTATTTATGATCACTCATTCATTTACAATGATAAAAAATCCATATACGTATTAATTAAAATCAATTACCTAAATTTGGTAATGCTTCTTTTGCGTAATTTTGTTTTATCTTGATTAATTCATTACATTTTTTTGTTGCTTTTCTAGCATATTTATCACTAATTAATGACTGAGAAACAACGAATACGGATATTAACATTTAATATATTATTGTAATAATAAACAAATCTTAAAGGTACTTACTACTGTCAGATTAGGTTTCCAATCAACGAAATCAACTTTAAATTCATTTAATACAACGATCGGAGACTAATAAAGTCATATCAATATTTGTTAGGAATATTCCCTATAATTATATTCACTTGTTTGTAATTTAACGTATAAACCATGACTTTACGTTTTGCGAATCTGTCATTTCTATGTCATGGCCCTTCTCTAACTTTTGACTAGCAAAATACTCTCGTTGATCATGAATTTCTAAACGAATTGCATTTTCTTGTTGTTCTTGATTGAGGTCCTCCATGGTGATGTATTGCGTATAATCCTCTTTTTGATGTCCCTACAGGTTCGATAATAAACATACAAGTTATAAATAGTTAACCAATCTAAGTAATTAAAATTTTCAACACAAATTTATTTCGAACCTGATTATTTTGTTTTGCTTTTTCCTTAGATTTCCGAGTTTTTGAACTGGAAAATAGATTATTAAGCGACAAATTCCAATAAATTTTTTCGTGATACGTGATTGGTTAGGGTGTATCGGTTTGAAATCAGAACCAACCTCGATGTTTCTAAAATTCTTTCACCATGACGATTACTTCGACGAATTAAAGAAAGAATTTTTCCTTGCCCTGAGCGCATTGTTATGTCTTTTACCAATTCAACCTAAGAAATGTTATACATTTTATAACGCATTTACTTAAATGTGCAAATATGTATTGCATTAATGTTGTTACCTCTATGTGATCTTCTTTGGTCGCACTTAGATCTCGAAGATTGCTGATTTTTATTCGCTTACGTCCATGCTCTCTGTGTTCTCTCTCTTGGTTTAGATCTAAATATGTTTACGAACTTGTTTAAAAATGTATGTAATGTAATAGAACAATCAAAGAGAAGCAAGGTATTAAGAAATGCACCAACCTTCCTCAGTTTCCTGCCAGCATCTCTCGAATAAATCATCGCTAACCACACTCGATCCATTGCTTCTGTTTCTATCATTAAACTTTGATTGAACATATCGTTTCCAAAATTCCTTATGACCAAGTGGCTATATCGATACATGACACTTTATTATTGATCCATAAAAAAAAATAATTATTATCGTTTATCACTGCTTATAGTACCCAAAGTCTTATTTAAAATCAATTACTTTTTTCAAGTTGATTAGTAAACAGGTACATTATGTAGGGAGTTCCTGTGATTTACATTCAAGTCTTAATCATGGAAGGTATTATTTTATGGGATACTATAAGCAGTGCTAAACGGTGCAAAATCGCATTTCAGATAAAATTATATACCTTATTCTCGCCTACATTTTGTTCATATGCTATTCTAACGCGAGGGTATTCATCAAAAATCTCCTGAACTAATTGAGGAGTAATATTTATTTTTGTTTCACCACCTTCTTCAGTAACTGGTCGGATATTAGGAATAACAGAAGACCTCCCCTTTTTTTGGTTCGATTGTATAAACTGATCTCTTAGCAGATCCTAATCCATCATAAATCCATCACCTTAATTCATGTTACGTTCACATTATGGTAGCATACAATTATATTCATGAATGTAATATTAACCATACTTGGCGAAGTTCCCAAAATTCATCTTCAGTGACACATTTTTCTTTTAAGACAAGTGTTCTATGTTGTTCTGAAAGGTTTTTATCTCGTAAAAGTAATTGCATACGTAAATAATGTTTATTGCCAAGGTCAGGTTTTCGCAATGAGGGACCAGATTTACTAGTACCCTGTTGAGAACCATTTCGAAGTGCTGGAGAAGAAGAACCTGAAGCAGGAGATGGTGCAGAAGAACGTTGATGCGCTGGAGAAGCGGCAGCAGATCTAGGAGCAGCCGGGGAAGGTGCTGCAGATCTCCCCTTGTTCATAGCACTAGTTAACTCAGCCTGTATCTTTTGAATAAGATCCCATCCACTTAAAGAAAATGTGTAATCAGCCCCCCCAGTAGATATCTTAAATTTTGGTTCTTGAGCCACCTTCTCCTTACCAATAAATAATTCTATCAAAAAAGGTGATTTAAGTATTTGTCAAAATTGATCAAATTGATCTGCATGATTCAAGATGTCTAATAATTTTAGTAACCCAAGATCCTGAAATTAGAATACCATTGAGATCGGCACTTACTACTTGAAACTGCGTGAGGAATGTTGACTGTAGCCTGTTTGTCTCCATTAGGAGACCAGTAAAGTCGTTTATTTGTAATGATTAATCGGCCAGGTCTTTTTAAGTACGATGCACTGGTTTCAAAACGTTTTTGCTCGTTAACTTCCATTGTATAAAGATTTTAATAGATTAAAAATTGCATATTTTACTGTATTTTACTGTATAAAGTTGAAAAGAAAAGAAAGCTCTAGTTAACTATCGGGTGTAATGCCAATAAAAATACGAAACTTTTATCACGTGCACTAAATTAATTGAAATTTGTTTCAGATCATATGCGATATGATTTTAATAAAAGCATTGGTTCATTAAATCATATCACGTGATCTGAAAAAAAATTTGGGTGGTGAATAGAGGTTGGAACCGGATTTGATCTTCGGATTTAAATCCGATTTCCTTCGGATTCGGATTAAATTCGAATATAAATCCGAACCTACCGAATCTGTACATTAATTTCCATTCTTAGAAATCAATATTAATAATTTTCTTTACGCCCTTGTAGGGGTGTTAAAAACTTGTGTAAACTTGAGTCGGCTTGGGTCATATCGGAAGTCGACTTAGTCGAACTTCAAATAACAAAAAATCATGTGATTGATTTTCATAGATTTATTGAATTACAGTATCGGTATTACACAGTATAATATTACAGTATAAAGATGGATAACGATAAAAAATAAAATGAAAACTAAATATGCGATAACGAATATAAAACACTTATTTATATTTTTTTTATTCGATAATTTCCTTTTCAAACCAGCTTTTTAGGCTTAAAGAAGCTCTTACTGTATCTTCAAGAAGACTAGTTCTAGTAAGATCTATAGTATTCTTAGCAATGAAAAATGCGTGCTCACAGGGAACACTTGTAACCTGCAAAGCAAAGTAGTTTGCTACAATGCAGGTTATAGTTGGAAAATAGTAAGCATTAGCTTTTCACTATTGCAATAGATTTATACATGGTTCACGGAATAAGACAAGGTATGTTACTAATTCATCCTCTGTGCTTGTTACAATTTCTCTAATTTCTTCTTCTTGTACTTGTATTAGTTTTTTAAAAGTTTCTAATGGATCTTTAAATTTGATAACTGGTTTTGATTTATTTTTGTTATATAATAGATAAAGAGTTTTTAACTAATCAATAGCTAATATATGATTAGTTTTGTAAAATGTTTCAAACTTAGTTGATAGGTTAAGAAGACTAGAAATCACAGAAGATTTCTGAAGATAAGTTCAATATTCATTTAGTTTATATTTTATTTCTTTAACTGTTTCACTATATATATTAAAAACATAATGGGTAAGATGACTTAATAGTTTTTGAATAATTAATTATAATGATTCATATTGAAGGTTGCAAAACATCTGAAAGGATCAAAATTACTGTATAAAAAAGCTTAAGAAGTTTCATTATTTTGTTAATAATTTTTTAGTTATTGGTTTTCAAAAAATTATTTTTCAAATTCAGACAAGATTGTATAAGATTATCAGTAACAGTACAGATTTTAATAAATCTTTTAAGCATCAAATAAGTAGAATTTCATCTTGTCTTAATATCAGTTATTGAATAAAGAAATTAACAGTTTAAAATAACAGATATTCTTTTTATTTTTTCTAAAAGTATAAATAATTTTATTTTATTACAAAAATTTCAAACCTTTTGTATTTGGCAGAAATATTTTTTTTGACTACAAAATTGATAATATGAGTTGCACAATATATATGCTTAAGTTTTGAGTTTATAGACCTTTGTAAAAAATGTAAACAAGTCAAATTATTTGTTACATTATCATTAGTAAAACTAATTATTCATTCTTTAATTTTTATATAATTAATAATTTCAAGAATTTTTTTTTTAAGATATTCTTTTGTATAGGTATCATGTAGAGAAACGAAATTAAGAAAAAAAGTTTTGGCTATCCATTCAGTATCGATTTAATGAACTGTAATTTCAAGAAAAAGTTGTTTGTTACATGCTGTTCAAACATCCAAAGTGAATGCTAATTTACTTAAATTGGCCTTTAGAGTTTATTTAATTGTTATTCTTGCTAAGTTAAATTGTTTTTTTATATTTGTAGATAGTATTTGATAACAAGAAAGCTTATAACATGAATCAAGATTAGAGCAAAGTTTTACAAATAATTTTTCTTCAATTACTGAAAATGGTTGCTGATTAGTAATGATTTATTACAATAAGTCATAGTTTAAAGAATCAATACAAAGTTGTTTATCAGTTGAATAAAAAGAAGGCTTAGGGGTTTTTGAAAAATTTTTATAGATAAGTGGATACTTTATTTTAAAATGACTTGTTACTGTTAAAATTGATATGCTTTCTGTTTATTTATTGTTATATATTTTACAGAACTTAAACATTTTGAGATCATTACTAAGCTTATTGAGATATGCATAAACTAACAAAAGTTTCTCTTTTTTGGTCACAGGTTATTAAATTGAATATACTTTTGGGTTTTTTGTAAAGTACATTAAGTGTCTTTCTGAGCAGAAGAAGCAGTAATGATATAAGACATTGTAGACATGATAAATAATTAAAAACTTAGAATTTGTTATATATTAGAAGTTTGATAAAATTGATGATTTCAAAAAGGAATGTAAGCAGTCTTATATAATTCTTAAATTACATAATTAGTAACTAATTTTGACTTTAAATTTATTATTTCAAATTCTTTATTATAACTTTGATCTTGTTAAAAATTTATTAACAATTAATTGTATTATTATAAGTTATTATTATTACTATAAATATAGAAACTATCAAGAATTAGTAAGCAAATGTATTCTAATATGGGCTGCTATCAATAGAAATCAAGCAGATTGACATTTTTAAAAAAATTAATTTCTTACTTTCCAAAGCTTATATATCAATGAATTTCAAAGCTATTCTCATGAATAAATAGTTAAGTGAAAGCTTAAGATCTAAGCTTTTTTTTGACTATTCAATTATAAGAACAGTTTAGAAATTTATTGTAATATGAATAATGAAAGTTAAGTCATTAATTTTTTTTAAAATGTCTATCTGCTTAATTTCTATTGATAGTAGCCCATATAGTAATATAGCAATAATCATTAATAAATTTTATATTACATTATAAAAATTGTTATTAAAGTATTTTTTAACTATTTAAAGATCTATTAATGCATGTTTGATTAAATTTGGAATACTTTATTAGAAATTATTACAACATATCTTTCAAACTTATGTATAATTGACTTTTTAATAATTGCATATTATCATAAGATATATTAAACAATTTCTAATAAAGTATTAAAAAATTTTTAATATGTATATATAATAAAAGGCTGCTATAGTAAAAAATATTACACATATCATATGTACTTTCAATAATTATAATTGTAAAAAGCTATTATAATACAAAATAATGAGCTATCGATAATTGAATATTCTTATATTCTACTAAATCCAAAAAGTTAAATATAAACTATCGAGTAAAATGATATCATATTTAATTGTTTAAGGTTTTATTATATATATTGTAAGCAGATTCAGAATTTTATAAATCTGAAATCTACTTAAATAAATTTCAAATTCACTTATAATATATATAAAAAACTAAACTAATTTGTAACAATTGTAAGATAAAACTTAAGTTTAAAAAATAAAAATTATTATTTTGATTTAATAAAGTTATGTTTTTATATTATCACATGATCATATAAGTTGACTTAGAGTCAACTTGAAAGAACTCGACTAAAAGTTGATTTAAAGTTAACTAATCTGAGTTGTTTAATACTCCTACACTCTTGTGACAATCTTTATGATACAATTATTTCTGTGAAAACCACAATGCATGTGAAAAGCAATCAATTTTATCTTATCTTCATGTCTTGTGGCCCTCAATGTTTTTAGTTCTTTGTGAGAGCTAAGGCTCATATGAAAAATAATAAATTAACTTTTGGGCTTTAGTCTTTGCAATAATCCTGAAACTAAAATTTATCTAAAAAGCTATGAGTTTGGCTTTATAATCTTATAAAACTTATTATATATAATTGGTTCTTTTTGAGAACTAAAATTTGTATAGAAAGTAATAAATTAAATTGTAACCCTATTAATACAATAAATAATTAGATCTTTGTAAGAACTGATGTTTATAAAAAAAATTTTAATTTACTCTTATTATTCTCACAGAGAACTAAACCCATATGACAAGTTTATTAAGTAAATAATTAATGATTTTAATTATATAAATAATGTCACATTGCAAACAAAAAACATAGATATACACAAAATAGCCTCTTGATTTGCTCTTTCTTTAGTTCTTGATATTCATAAGCCTATTTTTGAAGTTAAGACATTAACTTTAGCAAGTTCAAACTCTATAAATACTTATAAAAAACATAAAAGTAAAAATAGTCAAAGTAACAGAATTAATAAAAGTTATATAACTTACTTTTTTTCTTAAGATCCTAATAACAATAATATTGTTTATTGCATAATATATAAAAATTTTAGTAATACTAATAAAAAAACTTATCCTTATAGTCATAAAGGAGATATGGTTTCAAACATGATCAGTTACTTATAGAAAAAACATAATATAATGAAACAAAATTATCAAACATATTTAGATACAAATAATAAAGTAAGAAATTATATATTTAATAATAATATTTGATTATTTTTTGTTATAATAATAAAGCTTTTACTTTTTTTGTCAATCATTCAGATACAAAAACAGTTAAAAAAAAAGATTTTAGCAAAGTTAGCAATAGAAAACATCTCAAGTAGTTTTAAGTAAAAAGAAACAACAATATAAAAAGCAATAAACTAATAGAAAAAAGTCTATTTGCAATACTAATAGAGTACTTTACAAAAATTGTCAAAATTTGAATTGCTAAAAATTAGCTTTTTAAAGGTGCTGATAAAGTACTAATTTTTGCCAAATTTTGTACTTTTTTAGTACTTAGTTACTATTATTTTAGTATAAAAAAATATTTACAAATTATTATAATAATAAAATGCTAATATTTGCAAAATATTAGCAAAATATTAGTACTAATAAAAAGCTAAAAATTACTAATAAAATAGGTAGTTAATAGTGCTGATAATGCAATAATTTTGTACTAAATTTGTAAAAATGC